TCATGCTATTAATAATAATACTCTTAGGAAGCCCATTTAGAAGGCCAATCAGCATATAAGTAGTGTGGGAATGGAATGCAACTTCAAGGTGAATTGTTTTAACAAGATAATAGAGATTAAATTTTTATAGACYATGTTTTTGAAAGACAAAATCACCCATCTTAAATCACAGCCTGTACAATGAGAAGTAGAGATTAGCCTAGCAGTGTTTGTGATGAACAGGCTTGCCGGGGTACGCTATATCTTAAGCATTTGTTATTCTTAAATAAAGATAGTGGTATGTGGTCATAGGCCCTGTGTCCCAGGGCCTTCACAGGGATGGACAGGTGAATGGGAGGGAGATCACGGACTTCCGGATCTGGTAATATAAGTACTTCTAGTACAAAGAAAGCTTTGTTGCTTTTTCCCTGTGTATTTTAAGTCCCACATCTTTCCCGGACTTAAGTTGAAGATTTTGKTTAGTTTGGAAGACTTTTATGATTAGGACATGTCAGAGATTGTCTCACAAACCTAATACACACTGTCACTGTGCTTGTAGATTTCTTGTAGAGTGTGAGAAGCAGTAACCATTTTGACCCCATTTCTTACCTTCTTAATCAAAAAAAAAGTTTGTCAGTATGAACACAGAACACCCTTTGTGGTTTTGGTTATAATTTCATTATTAACAAGGGTGATTCATGTGTAGAATGTAGGGGGTTCCCCTTACGGTGTATAGTGTATCCCTGCTTGTGGTAATTCAGGGTTTTTCCTCTCATGCCTGTGTCATTGGGCATATAGTCTAATTCTTCCTCGTCTCCTAGATGTCTCTAGAATAATTTCTTCCTTTCTGTCCAATCCTGACAGGTTTGTGCAGGATTACCTGGCGGGGAGACATGAGATCCTCAGCAGAGATGTGGTTTAGAGACCAAGATGATGTCACTCTGGTAATGACATTGCCTCCGCCTGTTACCTGAGCAAGTTGCTGACTTCTGCTTTAATCTTCCTCATGACTAAATGAGAATGAAATTTCACCTCTCTTTTTTGCAGGAACTTTGTGCCTGCTTCTGAATAATCCAGTTGTAATCCTGATCTCATTGAAACCAAGAGGTGCTTTGCATTGATGATTTGTTTCGTTTTGACATTCAGCTTTGGAAAGCTTATTTTACTGGTATCTCCAAACCTTGGCTCTATTTTTTTTCCCTGAGATTCAGTAGTAAAATCCACTTTGATTAATGGCAGTACTAAGGGTGATGCACCTGAAAATAGGTACTCCTCATCTCTGAAGAAAGTCTGTCTTCATTCCCCATGTAATTTTATTACTGTTTTACATTTAATTTCTGGATTGCCACAGTAAAACTGTGTCTTAGACACTAGAATCTAATATTAACCTGGTTGCATTTTATTATTCCAGCAACCAGGCACTGGTCTGATTCCCCAGCACTGGGTAGTTTGCGTAACCCTATAAAGAGTTCTTTTAGAGTAGAAATCTCTGAAGTGTATGTCAGGATCCAAGGCTAAAGTCCAGCTGATAGCCCAAGAGGAGGAGAGGGTGTATGATATTTTACTGAAGGCTATTGCAATGTGTAAGGGTGGAAAAATGAGTATTGTGCAGAATAGTCTTTATAATGGCATTTCTCATATTTGAGATTAGGCTTTTAGCTTAAGGGTTGGAGGCTTGGCAGTCTGTTTTTCTGTTGATCTCTGTCTCTCTCCCCATAGCTTTTCTTGATATTCAGGATTCTGTTTTGAAAGCTCCTGGTCTGATGTCTACAYTTTATTCAAACAAATGCCCTGAGCTTTGTGGTGAAGGTGGAGGGAAGGTGGGTTTCCTAGGCTGGCTGCTGAGCCTCTTGCTCTGCAGCGTTTTACTGAGGGTGAGAAAACTCTTCACCGCTAGGAGTGCTCACACAGTTGCACGTGTTTGTGGCACCGCTCTGTGCTGACTGTGCCACAAGCCTCTCATGTGGTGAGACCACTCATACTGTCCTGGTTCAGCGAGCTGGGTATCTCCATCTTCACACTGTGAGCGGGCTCTTTTCAAGTGAGAGCTTAATACCACACTCGGGGCACACTGGTTGGGGATGGCACAGCTGCTGCTTCCCGCTCGAGGTCTTGTGCCATTGGCAAGGGCACTGCTTTCAGAGGTAGCCTGTTAAAATCATGGCCCTTGCAGCCAGTCCTATGAGGCTTCCTTGCAAGGGAGGATTTTTTTTCGAGTCCTGTTGGTTCAGTCAGAACTGACATTATAGAGCATAGCACCTGTGTCATTAATTACATTTATCTATAGTGTATGTGGTTACTGCTTAGGGAAAGAATGGGGAAATCCACTTGATCAATATTTCTGCAAGGCCTAATTCTCCAGTTACTGCCTGACACCTAAGGAGACCTTGTGTCTATGAAAACCATTCAGAAATGTTTTTTATGAGAATTCTCCTTGCAGAGTAACTGGAATAATATCTTACAAGACATGGTATATTTCTGTGACATATCTCAGAGAGCAGTTTTATTACTGTGCCTTCAATAGTCCTAGCTGCATCTGTYTAAACAAAAATGTCAAAAGATTCCATTTAAATGCCTAAGAAAAAGACYGAGATTGAAACTGAGATCTGGGGGAGACAAATTTCCGATGTTAAACAGGAAGTATTTGCATTCAGCACAAGTGTTAGCCAAAGCATCATAAATAACTCTGTAGATGTGTGTGTGTTGATCTCCAGGCGTTTTCCCAACCATTGCCCATTTGTTTATGGGCATCTTAAGGATAATCATGACTGAAGTCTTATTTTAAAACTTCAAACTGCAGAGCTAAAAATAATTAAATAATGCTTTTTTCCCCTCTCTGTTTCTTGGAGGGAAACAAAGGTTAATTCACTGTCCAGTGAGGCAGACATTTAGTTTAGTCAGTGTAGCTACTGCTAAGAGAAAAAAAATAAAAGGGGGGGATGGTATTTACTCATGGCCTGGTTCAGCACTAATAATATGTCATGTTTGCATTGCACAAATAGCTTCTTGTAGCATCTTTTTGCTCTGGTACTAACGCACTAATACCCAACTCTTGAATGGCAGTTTTGACTAKTAAATCCGAAAGCATTTTACCACTGAGATCAGTAGCAGTTTTTATCTTTTCYGTATGTAAAAATTTGAGAGGTGAAATAACTTTCTGAAATGCCAGCAACAAAATTGGGACTCRCCGTTCTGTGTAGTCTGCTGCTGTACCTCTGATGTGCTGTTGTGTCCTTTRTATGGAAGCAGGGGATTTTGTGTATCCTGTAGAAATGTAAGCTGTTGGTAACTTCTTATACTTGAGAATATTCCCTCTTAAACTGACCACTTCTATGGAGGGGAACATCAGTGAATTTTAGTATTGAATGATTGAGATTGGAACAAYGTGACAGTAAATGCATGGGAATCTGGAATAGGAAGATGTAATACAGTTGAAACAAAAAAAAGTTATGGCATCAGAATTTGTTGGCAGTTTTGCCATGGAAAACCCTGTTTAAGTCTCTAGAATGCYCTTGTCTTAGTGGAGCTGTACCTGAAGTGGAAATGGTAATTCTCTTCGCTATTTAGGCAGTGTGAGGCAAATCTCAAGTAACTGAAGTTAACAATATTTTTACTTGCTAGAGCTGTTGTGAGGCCTTGGTCTTGTTAGTTGTAATTTTGCTACCTATAAATTGCTTGGCCTGGAGAGCTAAACAAGGCTCATGTATTATAAAAGCGGAGTTGCTAATGGAGAGATTCTGTGTGATTCATTGAACCTGCAGGCCCTACAGGATCAATACGGTGTGAGAAATCTGTGCAGACTTTGAGAGGGCAAGCAAAAATAAGGCTGCCATTTGTCAAAGATAGGGCCACGGCAAAGTATTGCACTGTCTTGCGACTATGCTAATAGATGAACTTTTTTTTTTATAAGCCATAAAGCAGAAATTCCTAAATTAAAATCCAGACACAAAATAAAACAGGCAGCCCACTCCCTCCAAAAATTGCTTAGCACCAACAAGAAGTTGTTTTCAATGTTTTTAAGGCCAGTGAATTGAAAAATAAGCTGCTGTTTCATGCTGTTTCATGTGCCTCCTGAGGCCTGCTGAGATGCAGGAGGTTGCAGAGCAGAACAGACAAGGTCAGAGACTGGGTAGCGAAGGGCTCGGAGAAGGCGAGACTGGAGGAGGAAGCGGTGCTAGAGCAGAGGGTGCAGAACGAGGAGGGCAGCGGCGCGGGCCTGGTGCCAGCACCGGGATGCTCCCCGGCCCCTACAGCCCCTAGGAGACGCACAGAGCTGAAGCAGCTTGTTAGGGTCTAGTGGATGTAGCCATTTCTCTGGCTCCTCCATTTCTCTGGAACCTCAGGGAATTAAAGCCCTTAAAATAGGTCTGCGCAAGAAAGGATTTCAGGCAGTCAGTAATATTTTGAGTTCTCTCACATCTTTAATCATTTTAATACTCTTTAATGTTCTTTTTTTTTTCTATGCACTTCATTACTTGTAAAATACCATGGAATCCCCGAGAAGCTGAGGAAATGGAAATTATTAATTTTTAACACTTTAAAATACATTAAAATGTATCTCAGATAACTTGTTGTATCTATAGTTTGAAACTCAAAGGCCAGGTCCTTTGCATATTAGTTTTAAAATAGTTTGCTTTTTTTCTTGCTGGTGCAGTACACACAGAGAGCCAAACATGCATTTTAAACTTGTATGAAACCAGTTGTTCTCTGTAAATTGATAAAAGTAGAGAGAAAACAGACATGGCAAGAAGAAGCTCGTTGGATTTGGGAGAGCTCCAGATGTACCACATGGTGCACAGAGAAGCGTTTCTTCTGCAGCTATAGGTGGTGCCCTGTGCGCAGCGTCTCGCGTTGCAGTGCCTGTGAGAGTCCTGATTTCGAAGTAGAAGTGAAAGGGCTTACTTTTACTTGTGTAAGAAACTGATCTGATGTTTTTTTTCCATCCAGAAAATGATTGAAAGTTTGTAAAGAGAAAAGAACAAAAGAAGGAGAAATCGGAGGAAGAAAATGAGTAGGACTTGACTCAAGCTTTTATAATATTTAAAAAGTACAGGTACATTAGTCATATTCTCTAAAGGATTTCTTGTAAAGCAGCTTTACTGTTTGTAAGCTTTTCCTGTAATTATTTTTTTAATAAAAATACTTTCTCAAATTAAATGAATTGGTACTTTGGAAATTGATAACCATGGAAACTGAAATGATGTGCTCCTGACTTTCAGGGACACTCGCTGCTAAGCGAGCTCGCAGAGAGCCGTGCAGAGGAAGCTGGTTTTGCTGGGGTGGAACCAGCACGGGGCCGGCAGACTTGGAGATGACAAAAGTACCTGTTCTGGGGCACCATCTGCTGGTGCCTTGTTGTGTGACTGCCCCATGTGGATACACAACATATGCAGGATATAGTCTATATGATAAAGTATCTGTTTAGCAGAGAGTACCTWCGATTCTGGAAGGGGTCACAATTGGGGTAAGAAGCCAGGTARGACTTTTAACCATAGTGATGCAGATAGAGACAGAAAGGAAAAGACGTTGCTGCCTAAGAACAATTATAATGAGCTTGTAGTACCAGGCAGTGGAGTTTGAAATGGTAGATTTGGAATCTCACATTGTAAAATCTTTGTATTCTTGCTTTGTGACAGCCTGCAGGACTCGAGAAGCGTACGCTGCTTTTATGCCAGGACAGCAGTCTGTTGAGCTCTTGTGCTCCCTGAAATCTAAGGAAACCCTGAATCTGAGACCGTGCACATTCCTAACACTTCACCCACAGCTGTAGATGGGAACAAGCTTCCTTGGGCAGTAGGATGCTCTACCTCCTTGACTGAAAGGTAAGCTGCTTCAATCTTCAGGGTAGAGGCGTATGTGAGAGCAGGCAGCCTGCACTTTCCTTACAGTTCTATTGTCTACAGTGAATATAAGCTCTTTGGCTCTTTGGACCTTATACACTTTTCCTGGAAGAATCTGTTACCTCCTTGGTTGGCCAGGTGTCACTGCCTGTGTTCATTTAATATCTAGGATGGAAATGAAGGTTGCTGTAGTAGACCAGTCTAAGCTGTGTTTTCTGGGCAGCTGAGATTAGGCCAGTKTGCTCTACTTCTTTCACTGGTGGCCAGTGCAAGTTTCTTTTCTGAAATGCTGGCAGGATGCRTCTGGTTGGCCAGTGAAGGCTGATTCCGGTCTGTCTTCAAGTCTCACATGGTAAGGTAGAAATTACAGACCTTATGGTGCAAAGGAAGGCTRAATGTAGAGTAGTTCTTAAAGTTGGTTTATGTAGGCTAGATGATAACAACAGTGAGTTTTCTTATCTGTTAGTACTCATGTAACAGTGAAGTTGATTGAAAGGTGGTTTATCCTTCACTGAAGGTATAAGGGGACATTCACAGATGGAGTCTAAACACGCCTGACACCCTACCACACTGCAGGCTTAGGCAGCTCCAGCGTGTATGCACGCAGTGAGAGAAAGGCAGTTGGACATTTCTTCTGACTCTCAGTCCTAGGTGTTGTAAAAAACTGCTGATAGATATGGTGCMCTTGCTGAGATGCCAAGGTATAGCAGGGATGCAGGATGCATAAAACATCCATTATTTCTTTGCRTCCGTGCCTGTTATTCCAAGACTGTCTGCATCTGTATTTACGCAGTCTCAGGCTCACGTGTTTTTCTATAATTAGTCTAGATTGGTGGAAACATTGCTCCTTTGCTGATTAGAATACAAGTACAGCACAGGACTGTGATAAATGGCTGAAAGCATCAAGCTTCCTCCGTCTCTGAACTGCTGCTAGTTGGTAACCTGTACTTTTGATAAAGAAAAATAAAATCACTTAAAACTTTTCTGGAAATAACACACATTTTTCATCAGTTGACAGACTTCTCTGTTAAATGTGAACATTCCTTTATCAGCTTGGTGTGCAGCGATAGCAGTAATGCAGTCCTTTMATATACGTACTGCTAGAGGAGACAAAGGAGTAAGACAGCCTTGGTCTCTCAGTGGATACCTGGTGCTGTTTGGTGGTGTTCTTATGTAAGGTATGGCAGGAACCACGCTAGTTTTAGTGTTCTCTTCTGTTCTTTAGTGTCTTCGTGCAGCTAGTGATATGCATGCTGTTACTTTTGTGTTGTGATGACTCATCACACATCCCTGGGTAATTTTTGATACATGAGCAACATTCAGATAGAAAGAACCATATGGTCATCATTAAAATGTAAAATACTTAGTATATGCATGAAGTTAAAGATTTGTCTGAAACTTACGTTACTTGAAATATGCATATTATGGTTTTTGAAACATAAATTATTGTTCCTTTGTCTGGAAAACTGAGCCTGAGTTATTCAAAGTCATGTGGTTGCTGATAGCTGGCTATTAGTGTAATTTCATTGAAGTGAATTAATTGCATTGGTGCTTCATCTTGGTGGAAAATAAGGAGATCTGTGTGGGCTGGGAAAACACCGCCGGGGCTTTGATGGTGAGATGGGTTATTGATGGATCAATATTCATACAGAAACTTCCATAGAGGGAGAAGGCCTAAATGAGATTACTCTCCATTTTTGTTCTCCCATGACTTTTCAACTTAGAATTTCTCTTATTGCATGAAGGTGTTTGCAGTTTGCAGTAATACGTCTGCAGCTCTCCTCCGTCTGACCTTTGTCTCTGTACCACCCACTGATTTTTGCTTAAAGGGTAAATAAGGTTCAAGCATCAGGCTGGGAAATTTGCCCAAGAATTGTCTCAAGCACTCAGACAACATATAGGAGAGCTAAGGAGAGCAAGCCTGAAAATATTTTCCCATCTTATCGAAATGTCCACTTTTGAATATTCGTCACCATCTCTTCTTTCCCCTCTACACCCCAGCATAGTCAGATGGAACTGGAGACTTTCAGTTTTTTTTCTGGATTGTTTCTCATGGAAGAGAAAGGCTAATTCTGAACAGTTGAGAGCCTCCTGTGGCCGCCCCAGCAACCTGCTGGCTGCTCTGCTCTTGTGTTCTTGCTTTTAGCAGAAATTCCACCCTGGACCTGAGAAACGGCTTTTAGTGAAAGTTTTGTCAAACTGTTTCAGTGAAAGTTGCAAAGAAAAGTTTCAGTTTCAGTAAATTATTATTTTCCAATGGAAAAAACATTTCACTGAAAAATTCCCAGACAGTCTGCTTCTGAGTTTACCCTGTATATCATCTGTTTTTTTTTTTGAAATTCTTACTAAGTTGCTGAACATTCATGCTTGAGGAAGACTGGTATTAATGCCAGCTCTTGGTTAATCATCAGTGAATCCAGGTGAGGTACTTGCCTGTGTGTGCTGAGTGCCACGGCCAGCAGCCTGAGGTGGCCTAGGCGCTGCGGGCACCGGCCCTGGCTGGGGTCTCACAGCTAGTGATCATCCTCCTGGCTGGCTTGAAAGAATAAGGAAACAAACAAACCAACCTAAGGAAAAAAACAGTCTTTCTCCTGTTGTAAGATGGCACTGTGGGTGCCATCTTTTTAATGTGAGTTATTTCAGAAGTGTGATTTGAAGAGCAATACCCTAGGTATAGATGCTTAGCTAAGACATCAGTGAAGGTTTGGGACTGAGCGATTAGAAAGGGTGGAGGACAGGGAAAGAAACAGGAATTTCTGAAGCTAGTTTCAGCAAGCAAAACATTATTTCATGTGTTTATCTGAAAATATTCCTGTAAAAGTAAGGGATGAAAAGTAACACTAGAGTTCCTGTTAGGAGGTGGAGTGCAGCAGCCATCTACCAGGACATAGCACACCTGAAGAGACCAGAAATCAACACCAAAATGTTGCCTCCATGGAGAAGGAGGCAGCAAGCTGGTAAGGAACAATAGTAGTTTTTATCCACAAGTGATAGGTTGGTACTGCAGAAAGGGGACCCAGCTCGCAGGCCAGGAGAGCAGCGTGGGGTGCGTGGGGAGCGTGGCCGTGGGGAGCGCCTGGGGGACGGGCTTGGTGCCCAAGGGAGGAGCGTGGGGTCTCCCCACCTTCCTGCCAGCTCCCCCGGGCGGCTGCTGCAGGGAGACTCTGCTAGAAGCAAGGAAGGAGAGTGTAACTCTCCCAGAAATAACCAAGAGACAGTGAGGTTTTCTCTGCTTACTCCATGGTTTTTATGCATTTTTATTTTAAGGGCTGGAAGGGATATTTCTCCTACAGGGTGGCACTGATGTGTTTGAACTTTCACCAGTAGATTTCAAAATATGAATGGCTTTTGCCTTTTTATGATTACTGACTGGACTGTATTTGCTGAGATTCTAGCAGCAGTTCTGATTTTCTTCTAACTGATCTGCCATCCTTTCAGATAACAGTTCAGATGTACCTGCTTTACTTTCTGCCTGAATTTAAGAATTACTCAGTGCATGTTATTTGAGCAGGGTGTCTCATTCCTTTGTCAAAACATCAGTAAGATGCTGCGTGAGCTACTAGGAGATTGGTAAATGCTTTGCGTCATGCCAAAGACCTCATACACGTCTAGCAAAGCCATTGGATCAGATTTGACATGCTTCTGATACAGAGTTCGTATACATCTTTGCAAAAGCTGTTGAACTACTTGCATTATTAACCTGTTTATTAAGTAAAGCATTATACTACTGAGGAGGAGGTAAATAATTCATGAGGCTCTCAAGCATGATGATAGTAGGACTTACAAAAATGTGATACGTAGAAGTTCTTTTCTAATAGTTGGCTTTGTCCCTGTTTTTAACATATTGCAGTTAGTTTTCTCTGTGCAGACGTTATCCTCTTAATCACAGAGAATTCTCTTCAGGACTGATCAGATGTTACCGCATTTAGACCATTGTCAGTTAAATGTTGGAGTTTCTTCCTAAGCAAGAGGTTGTTGAACTCTAAAATTGTGTTTCTTTTCAGTTGAAAAAATCATAATACAATGAACAATTTTGTAATTTTGATCATGAAGCCTTTTTCAGAAATGGGGGTGTTATAGGTTTTGTTTTTGTTCTTTTTAAGCTTCGGAGGGGTGGAATGTTTCTCAGTTGTTTGCTGCCCTCTTGTGCCGTGATTTGGTCTTTCCATCAATTATTTTGCCATCTGTAAATCTTGCTACCCAATTTGGTGTGTCAACCTGACACACTTGTCCGTATTTCCCTCTTGTGCAGACACTGTGCTCCATTTGCTCCTCTTCTAATGCAAACCTATTCTGCTGCGATGCAGCTGAAAATGCCTTAGCAGTGATTTATCCACAGGTTTCCCGTTGTCTGCTGGGGTGTTGAACTGAGGGAGCTGATGCTGGTGCAGAAGAGGTTGTTGTCCATATGTGGAAGCTGCCTGCTCTCCACTGCTGCAGACCTTGTGCTTAACTGGTTTGGTGTGGGCAGGTGCCCTGGTGACAGAGGAGGTTTGTGGCTCCTCAGTTGCATCGTGTAGGGGGTGAGCGTGGGGAATAGGCTTGCGGTGACCGTAGCTGTGGAGGAAATGGGCTTCCCAGTCTGGCTGCTGGTGAAACCAGTGTTTATAGGTTGTGCCAGTGACTTCTGTCTGGTGCTGTATGAAGAATTCCAGGCAAGGTTTCTGGACACAGACTTGACCAAGGGCCTAAAGGCAGGGTATGAAAAATATCTGGTATCTATATTGCTGTACAAGCTGGAATCTGCCTTGTAAACCCTTCATCCTGTACGAGGTACCCCTGCCACTTGGATACTGGCAGAAGAGGTGTGGAAGATGATGCTGAGCTGATGGTGCTCCATAATACATAAATAAGTGTAAATGTGGGAGGCAAATATGAGTTTCATTTTAGATCAGAGGGAAAAAGAGAGTTCTGTGAGAAATAAGCAAATTCTCCTCGAGAGTCATGGCTCTGTCTGGGGTTTTCAGGATCCCTGAAGCCTA